ATTATATGTCTATAGTATAGTCTGTAATCTAGTCGATAGTCTATAGCCTAGTGTATAGTCTAGTATATAGTCTAGTTCATAGTCCAGTCCATTGTCTAGTCTATAGTATAGTTTTTAGTCCAGTATTTAGTTTAGTCTATAGTCTAGTCTATAGTCTGGTCTATAGGCTGGTCTAATCTATAGTCTGGTCTAATCTATAGTCTGGTCTAATCTATAGTCTGGTCTAATCTATAGTCTGGTCTAGTCTAGTCTATAGTCTAGTCTATAGTCTAGTCTATAGTCTAGTCTATAGTCTAGTCTATAGTCTAGTCTATAGTCTAGTCTATAGTCTAGTCTATAGTCTAGTCTATAGTCTAGTCTATAGTCTAGTCTATAGTCTAGTCTATAGTCTAGTCTATAGTCTAGTCTATAGTCTAGTCTATAGTCTAGTCTATAGTCTAGTCTATAGTCTAGTCTATAGTCTAGTCTATAGTCTAGTCTATAGTCTAGTCTATAGTCTAGTCTATAGTCTAGTCTATAGTCTAGTCTATAGTCTAGTCTATAGTCTAGTCTATAGTCTAGTCTAGTCTATAGTCTAGTCTATAGTCTAGTCTATAGTCTAGTCTATAGTCTAGTCTATAGTCTAGTCTATAGTCTAGTCTATAGTCTAGTCTATAGTCTAGTCTATAGTCTAGTCTATAGTCTAGTCTATAGTCTAGTCTATAGTCTAGTCTATAGTCTAGTCTATAGTCTAGTCTATAGTCTAGTCTATAGTCTAGTCTATAGTCTAGTCTAGTCTATAGTCTAGTCTATAGTCTAGTCTATAGTCTAGTCTATAGTCTAGTCTATAGTCTAGTCTATAGTCTAGTCTATAGTCTAGTCTATAGTCTAGTCTATAGTCTAGTCTATAGTCTAGTCTATAGTCTAGTCTATAGTCTAGTCTATAGTCTAGTCTATAGTCTAGTCTATAGTCTAGTCTATAGTCTAGTCTATAGTCTAGTCTATAGTCTAGTCTATAGTCTAGTCTATAGTCTAGTCTATAGTCTAGTCTATAGTCTAGTCTATAGTCTAGTCTATAGTCTAGTCTATAGTCTAGTCTATAGTCTAGTCTATAGTCTAGTCTATAGTCTAGTCTATAGTCTAGTCTATAGTTTAGTCTATAGTCTAGTCTATAGTCCAGTCTATAGTCTAGTCTGTAGTCTAGTCTATAGTCTAGTCTATAGTCTAGTCTATAGTCTAGTCTATAGCCCAGTCTATAGTCTAGTCTGTAGTCTAGTCTATAGTCTAGTCTATAGTCTAGTCTATAGTCTAGTCTATAGTCTAGTCTATAGTCTAGTCTATAGTCTAGTCTATCGACTAGTCTATAGTCTAGTCTATAGTATAGTCTATAGACTAGTCTATAGTCTAGTCTATAGTATAGTCTAGTCTAGTCTAGTCTAGTCTAGTCTATAGTCTTGTCTAGTCTAGTCTATAGTCTAGTCTATAATCTATAGTCTAGTCTATAGTCTAGTCTATAATCTATAGTCTAGTCTATAGTCTAGTCTATAATCTACAGTCTAGTCTATAGTCTAGTCTATAGTCTAGTTTATAGTCTAGTCTAAATCTAGTCTATAGTCTAGTCTAAATCTAATCTATAGTCTATTCTATAGTCTAGTCTATAGACTAGTCTATAGTCTAGTCTATAGTATAGTATATATACTAGTCTATAGTATAGTCTAGTCTATAGTCTTGTCTAGTCTAGTCTATAGTCTAGTCTATAATCTATAGTCTAGTCTATAGTCTAGTCTATAATCTATAGTCTAGTCTATAGTCTAGTCTATAATCTACAGTCTAGTCTATAGTCTAGTCTATAGTCTAGTTTATAGTCTAGTCTAAATCTAGTCTATAGTCTAGTCTAAATCTAATCTATAGTCTATTCTATAGTCTAGTCTATAGTGTAGTCTATAGTCTAGTCTATAGTCGAGTCTATAGTCTATTCTATAGTCTAGTCTATAGTCAAATCTATAGTCTAGTCTATGGTTTAGTCTATAGTTTAATCTATATTGTAGTCTGTGTTCTAGTCTAGTCTACAGTGTAACCTATATTGTAGTCTATAGTCTATTGTGCAGTCTATAGTCTAGTTTATAATCTGGTCCATAGTCTATATAGTCTGGTCTATTATACAGTATATTCGATTGTTTATTGTACAGTATAAAGTACGGTCCATAGTTTGTAGACTAAAACAGACTATGATGATACATTTTCGATAAAAATTAGAGATAAAACTCATTCATTGGTTATGAATTACTGACAAATCGTGTAATTTCGGTCGCAATGGGTTTTAAAATTACGAATGAGAGTGTGAAGTATGAGTGATTGTTTTGTGTGAACATGACAAAAGTAAACTGATTATGTACATTATGTGTGTATGTGACAAAGGCAAAACAGCTGTTGATGTATGTTGACCATCTGGTATAAATTCAACAAAGTGTCATCACTAACAAATTAAAATCCATATGACAGAGAAGCGATGTTTTAGTAAATGACATTTCATGCAGGAAAACAAATGTATTGATGAATTTTAATAAAAATACAGAAAAAAACATAAAAATTTAGAAAGAGTAAAGAAAAATAAGTATAAATAATGGATTTAAATGAAAAAGTTGAAGAATTGGTAAGAATAACGGCTGCCTTGAAAAATGAAGTCAACGAATTAAAAGGCAAAGATGTTTATATGCATTTAGACGAATTGGAAGAGGAGAAGGAGGCATTAAAACATGATATACTGGATTTAAAAAGTAAATATTTTCTTATTTTGAAAACAATGAAATGTAAATTAAATTGGTTTCTTTTAAAACATAGATTCCTTAATGCAGCAAAATGAAAAGATTTTATCGTTAATAAGAAAACAGAATGACAAACTAGTGGAGACCATAGAGGCGGACAAGTTAGCACCACAATTGGTGTTTAGTAAGAAAATATCACAATATTCTAAATTATTTCCCATTAAAACTCTGGAGGAATTGGATGCTTTGGAGGCCTTAATTAATGATAATAATGTAAATGAACTGGTAAGTGGGTTTGATTTGACAATATTTAAGTTTAAATAAAACAATAATATAATTTTTTTAGATAGCAGTGGTCCACCAACTTTTGGCTCCCCGTGGCATTATTAAAAACCTTGTATCGGTTATGTCTATGGAATGTATTGTGGAATGTAATCTTGATGGTCTTCATAATAAGAGACGTTTATTAAATAGCCCAAAATTTATGGATTTACTGTTTCGTAAGTTTAGACGGCGATACCCTTAACATTTTCAGTTAATGTTGTTGTTTTTTGTATAGAAGCTGCTAATTTTGATGGCTACAATCAAAAAATGTTCTTAGAGCAAGTACGTCGTGGTCTTAAAATGGCCAAAAATCGTCATAATCAAAATTTATCTCGTAATCGTCAACTGGAGCGTCAAAGACTGGAACAACAGAGTGCCACCGACTCGTTTGAGGGTGAAGAGATAACACCCGAAGCTTTTATAAAAACAGAAGAGATATTTTTTGAATGAAATTATTTTTTTTTTTTAATTTTTAAGTTTTTTTTTTAATTAAATAAATGTGTGAATTATGATTTTTATTTAAATACCAAAGAACCAGTTAAAAATTTATATTAAAGTACGTAGATCTAGAACGATTCTAAACATCCTTATCAACTTTGGTTTCATACAACATCAAAAACTATTAAATTTGATTTTATAAAAACATAACTTAAGTTAAACTTAAAAACTATTTGTACATATTTACATAAACATCTAAATATTTACACATGAACTTAGCCCTAATAAGGCTCTAATCAAAATCAGCTTCTTCAGTTTTTATAATAAATTGTTCAACCGTCTCTTGCATTTGGGCTTGTTCCTGCTGTTCCCGCAGTTTCTGTCTCGCCTGACAATTATTTTTGTGTATGCGATTCTTAACCATGCGCAACGAACGTCTTAAATCATTTAAAAACATTTGATTATTATATTCTTCATTATCATTGCGACTGGCCACTGTGGAAAAAAAGAACAAATTTTAATATTTATTAATTTAGAATAGGTATAGTCTAGCATTAAATACTTACTAAATATAATATCAATAGTTTTGGGGAAATTTAATAATCTTTTTTTATTATGATAACCGTCTACATTTATTTCCATTATAAGATTTTCGGACAAAACATTTGAAATACTTTTCGTTAGACCTTTGGGTGCTATCAGGGCCTGGACTATAGTGATCTGTGGAAGATAAATGTGTCAGAAGTAATTGTCGAGAATCATTTTATATCAAAATCTGCAAATAATTTAAAAAATTACGGCAACATTAAAAAAAATCTATAGTCTAGGCTACAGACTAGTCTTTTACTTTGTCCATTGTCTAGTCTGTAGTCTAGTCTATTTTATAGTTTAATCTATAGTCTAGTCTGTAATCTAGTCTATAGTCTTGTCTATAGTCTATTCTATAGTCTAGTCTATAGTATATTCTATGTCTAGTCTATAGATTAATCGATAATCTAGTCTATAGTCTAGTTTATAGTTTTGTCTCAAGTATATAGTCTAGTCTATAGTCTAGCCTACAGTCTAGTCTATAGACTAATCTATAGGCTAGTCAATAATCTAGTCTATAGTCTAGTCCATAGTCTACTCTATAGTCTACTCTATAGTCTAGTCTATAGGCTAGTCTAGTCTGGTCTATAGTCTAGTCTAGTCTATAGTCTAGTCTGGTCTATAGTCTAGTCTAGTCTATAGTCTAGTCTGTAGTCTAGTCTGTAGTCTAGTCTGTAGTCTAGTCTGTAGTCTAGTCTGTAGTCTAGTCTATAGTCTAGTCTATAGTCTAGTCTATAGTCTAGTCTATAGTCTAGTCTATAGTCTAGTCTACAGTCTAGTCTATAGTCTAGTCTATAGTCTAGTCCATAGTCTAGTCTATAGTCTATTCTATAGTCTAGTCTATAGTCTAGTCTATTTTATAGTCTAATCTATAGTCTAGTCTGTAATCTAGTCTATAGTCTAGTCTATAGTCTATTCTATAGTCTAGTCTGTAGTCTAGTCTATAGTACATTTTATAGTCTAGTCTATAGATTAATCGATAGTCTAGTCTAGTTTATAGTTTTGTCTATAGTCAAGTTTATAGTCTAGTCTATAGTCTAGCCTACAGTCTAGTCTATAGACTAATCTATAGGCTAGTCAATAATCTAGTCTATAGTCTAGTCCATAGTCTACTCTATAGTCTACTCTATAGTCTAGTCTATAGTCTAGTCTAGTCTGGTCTATAGTCTAGTCTAGTCTATAGTCTAGTCTAGTCTGGTCTATAGTCTAGTCTATAGTCTAGTCTGTAGTCTAGTCTATAGTCTAGTCTGTAGTCTAGTCTATAGTCTAGTCTGTAGTCTAGTCTATAGTCTAGTCTATAGTCTAGTCTATAGTCTATTCTATAGTCTAGTCTATAGTCTAGTCTATAGTCTAGTCTATAGTCTAGACTAATCTATAGGCTAGTCAATAATCTAGTCTATAGTCTAGTCCATAGTCTACTCTATAGTCTACTCTATAGTCTAGTCTATAGGCTAGTCTAGTCTGGTCTATAGTCTAGTCTATAGTCTAGTCTGGTCTATAGTCTAGTCTAGTCTATAGTCTAGTCTGTAGTCTAGTCTGTAGTCTAGTCTGTAGTCTAGTCTGTGTAGTCTATAGTCTAGTCTATAGTCTAGTCTAGTCTGGTCTATAGTCTAGTCTATAGTCTAGTCTAGTCTGGTCTATAGTCTAGTCTATAGTCTAGTCTGTAGTCTAGTCTATAGTCTAGTCTGTAGTCTAGTCTATAGTCTAGTCTATAGTCTAGTCTATAGTCTAGTCTATAGTCTAGTCTATAGTCTAGTCTATAGTCTAGTCTATAGTCTAGGGTATAGTCTAGTCTATTTTATAGTCTAATCTATAGTCTAGTCTGTAATCTAGACTATAGTCTAGTCTATAGTCTATTCTATAGTCTAGTCTGTAGTCTAGTCTATAGTATATTCTATAGTCTAGTCTATAGATTATTCGATAGTCTAGTCTATAGTCTAGTTTATAGTTTCGTCTATAGTCTAGTCTATAGTCTAGTCTAGTCTATAGTCTAGTCTATAGTCTAGTCTATAGTCTAGTCTAGTCTAGTCTAGTCTAGTCTATAGTCTAGTCTATAGTCTAGTCTATAGTCTAGTCTAGTCTAGTCTAGTCTAGTCTATAGTCTAGTCTATAGTCTAATCTATAGTCTAGTCTATTTTATAGTCTAATCTATAGTCTAGTCTGTAACCTAGTCTATAGTCTAGTCTATAGTCTATTCTATAGTCTAGTCTGTAGTATAGTCTATAGTATATTCTATAGTCTAGTCTATAGATTAAACGATAGTCTAGTCTATAGTCTAGTTTATAGTTTTGTCTATAGTCAAGTTTATAGTCTAGTCTATAGTCTAGCCTGCAGTCTAGTCTATAGACTAATCTATAGACTATTCAATAATCTAGTCTATAGTCTAGTCCATAGTCTACTCTATAGTCTACTCTATAGTCTAGTCAATAGTCTAGTCTAGTCTGGTCTATAGTATAGTCTAGTCTATAGTCTAGTCTATAGTCTAGTCTGTAGTCTAGTCTGTAGTCTAGTCTATAGTCTAGTCTATAGTCTAGTCTATAGTGTAGTCTACAGTCTAGTCTATAGTCTAGTCTATAGTCTAGTCTATAGTCTAGTCTATAGTCTAGTCTATAGTCTAGTCTAGAGTCTAGTCTACAGTCTAATCTACAGTCTAGTCTATAGTCGAGTCTATAGTCTAGTCTTTATTCTAGTCTATAGTTTAGTCTATAGTCTAGTCTATATTCTAGTTTATAGTCTAGTCTATAGTCTAGTCTATAATCTAGTCTATAATCTAGTCTATAGTTTAGTCTACAGTCTGGCCCATAGTCTAATCTATAGGCTATTCTATAATATAGTCTATAGTCTAGTCCATATTCTAGTCAATAGTCAAGTTTATAGTCTAATTTACTGTATAGTCTAGAAGAATACGATAACAAAATCTGCATTCAACAATGTCTGAACTCCCTAATCAAACACCAAATTTCGGTCCAACAAAATAAAAAACTAACAGTGTAAAATATTATTATGTATACCCTTACAATATGATTTTCATTTTCATCGGTAATCTCCGTCTCAAATTTTTCCAAATCTTTCATATTTTCCAAAGGAAATCGTCGAGAATATTCCGATATTTGCTTGCCATAGAAGACATGAGGTAATGGATGCTCCGCCTCTATAGTTTCATTCAATATACCCGTTTGTTTCGATAATAAACTAATAATCAATTCATTTTGCTGCTGTAAGGTCTCTGTAAACATAAAACCAATAAGTGGGTTAAAAGTTTTGTTTTTGATTTATAAACAAATAAAAAATACCTTTTAAATCTTTAACTTCTTTACGCAAATCTCTTGTTTCTCTTTTTAATTTTTCAATTCTTTCATTTACAGTAGACATTATTGTAATTATTTTGGTTTTTTTATTTGTCTTTGCTTATTTTTTCTTTATTACTGCTTCTTTGTAACTCAAAACGTGTTGTGTTTGCTTATTCATCCACTCATCATCAGCATGAAATGTCTCATGAAATAGAATTCATTATTTGACAGCAACAACTTGATGTATGCATAGTAAGCAGAAAAGAGAGGGAAGACGATAAGTACTTTTTTGCTTTTAATTATCATCCCTATGAAGTTATCGAACGATAAATGTTTTTTTTTGTTTGGCCAATAGCTTGTCAAATGGAAATCAATGTAAAGTTAGAAAAAATTAGATATCCTTTAAAAATATTAAAATTATTTAAAAAACAACATTATTTATTACATATTATGCACTTACATACTTACTTTATTTACTTTTTATCAACAAAAGTCCATTTTATTTTAAAAATTTCCCTATATTTGTAATTGAACTATTTTCATTTACTTTGCCTTTAATTTCCTATAATAACCTTCTCCAAGGGAGTCCCCCTTAAAAGTCTATTTGTTTTATTAAAACCATAAATGTTTATATTTGTACAGCTTGTGGTGATTTTTTTTTTAAATAAGAGAACAAATCTTTTCTTATCAGTGTTTTTTTGTAGATTTCTTTCTTATTGCGGTATTTTACCCACTATTCAATGTATCTGCTAACTTATTGTAGGTATTTTATATAAAAACTAGCTGTTAGATCATATTTCAAACACAGTTTCGCTTAGACAGTGTATCAGTAAGAGATCAAGTAACAACAAAATCTACATCAACATGAAATTCGCTGCTATTTTTGGAGTTCTAGTGGCTTTCATCGCCTTCATTGGTTGTTTTTCGACTACCAGCGCTTCTCGTGATGCCCGCCCTGTACAGCCCAGATTTAATCCACCACCACCCAGACCACAACGTCCTATTATCTATGATACACCTATTAGAAGACCAGGTCCAAAAACTATGTATGCTTAAGTTTAATTTTAAAGTTGTTTACATATTAATAGAAAAATGTTAAAAAAAATGTTTAAAATCTTATTTAATTAATCGTTCGGGGCAAACTTGTGGCGGTTCTAATCTGAAATAACAAAG